TAATAAAATGAGTAGCTATTAACTGCAAGTAAGCTACTACCTAGGACGCAGGATAGCTCGTGAATCTTCAGGGAAACTCCCCTCGCCGCCCTGTCGGCCGGGGGAAGCTTCCTTGAAGAAGCGCTTGCACTAATGATTTGGTTCCTAGATTTTTTTTGGGGGGGAAATAAGACCATGTGCTGTGCGAATTGGAGGTGGTCACCAATGATTTTCAGCACTTCAAGTGGCAGTGGTGAGTCAATGGCGTTTTCCTGAAATGCACAACCAAAGATAGATATATAGATGAGAAAGGCCTCTCACGTATTTCGGTGCTATTCCAACCTCGACTCGTTCGCCAGGATCAAACGGTGATCGTGAAGCTCTTTGTGATGCGTGTGCTGGACAAGCCGCAGGTTAGAGCCGCCAAAGCAACAGACCCAAGCAATTTGACAACGAAATCGATTTCAGCTAAATAATATTTTGATATATTTTGTGTTACTGGCGGGTTGGCGAGTTAGCTCGCAGCTAGTAGTTAAGCTCCTACTGAAACTTGCAACAACGTGGAAGGGTCCTTTGCATGGTCGAAATGGTTTGACTTTACGCAAGTATTACATCTGCCACGAAGAAGTGTATTGTATTCTTCCTGTGGTGCATGTTGCTTGCATTGCAGGGGTCAGCACCTGCATGTTGCACACCTGAGAATCGATGCGCAGGTATTGAGGTACTGTAGGAAGCGATTCAGATTGAACAGATTGTCCTTGTTGCGTGCATGATTTGTCAGGAGTCGCAGCTATCCAGGCGATCTTCATCGCGTCGAAGTGCCGCCACTGCAAATGGGGTCGTTGGTACAAGCTTGAAGCTCTCGAGTCCAAGAGGTCCAGCCAAGCCATGCAAAGGATTTGCCCCCCCCCCACCTACATTTGTCGGCTTTGAACTTCGCTCAGATGCGCCAAGTGTTGCCTTACCAGGAAGCCTCGGAGAAAGATGTATATTCTTGGCTGATGGACTCTTGGCAACTCTTGGCCGTGCTTTTGTCTTGAGTGGATCCCTAGGTTCAAGCTCAAGATCCTCATCCCAACGCTCCCACTCCTCACGGTCACGCTCACCCAGCTCACGGTCACCTGCGCTCCGACGTGAGCTGAGGCAGCCAGCAGCCCGCTTTGCATTTGGCACATTGGGCCTGTTGGGAGGGTTTTCTGATCAGGGCCGACTCGGTCCGCGCATCTTGATCGCCAATCGGTTCGAAAGTCCTCGTTGACCAGCCCTTTAGCTTCTGACGCTTGTCCGGGTCGGAACTCAGGAGTGTGGAGACCTCAGGGAGTGGAACAGGAGTCACCAGAGTCACAAGAGTCCACCGATGCATCTATAAGACTCTTAGCAGCATAGGACTTTGGCCGTGGCCTCAAGCAAATCTTTTGACTGCGCATTCAGTTCTTTGGTAGCGGATGGTAGCACGATATGATTATGATGCGATATTGTGGGCAACTAAGAGTCTAGCATCGAATGCCACTGTAATGCCACCACTTGGAGCCTTTTCAGTCTGTGAGGTTCACCGGCGGCTTGAGTGACTGGCATTGGGCGGGCGCTTTTCCACGGCGAGGCACTTCACATGTCCAATCCTTCTCTGAAAGGAGGCAGGTCCAGAAGTCCAGGACTAGGACAGAATTATGTTATAACAGTCAGGCCAGTGGATCCACAGCGAAGAGAAGGATTTGGTGGAAGATGCCTTGCCGTACGCTTGCCAGTGTATGTGGCAAGGTGAGAGACAGTATTATTCTTAGGATGCAGACGTGCTGTCCACGCCAAAGCCTCTTTGTTCACAGACATGGTCATAGTGCGAATGCAAATGCACAGGGGGTCTCATTGAATAGCTGCCCCAAAGACAACAGCACAACTAGTTTGTGCATGGGTATTGAGTCCACTCGGAATAGTTTTGAGAAGCTTGGCCAGAATGGATAGGGCTGGGGTAGGGGATTTTATACGGGTACGATAGGATAGGTCAGGACAAGATAGGATGCAAAAGGACATACGATACAGGTCAAAGCGGTACAGGGCAGGATAGGACGCGATAGGGTAGGAAACAAAGAAGCCCATTGATCGTGATTATATAGGTATTTTTGTAGATAGATTGAGAGTAGATCGACGGACAGTAACAAGTGCCTTACTACTAGTAACAATAAGAATTCTAATTAATAGCAAACATTGTTACTACCAGTAAGGCACTTGTTACTACTAGCGAGGCACTTGTAATTACTAGTAAAGGAATCTGCCTTTGGAGGTCAGGTCTCACTGGGGGACGTCGTCCAGTGAACTTTGGCTCAGCCTGGGATCGTCATGTTCAAAAGTTCTCCAAGGGCCTGGTCACTAATTTCCTGTGACGCTGACACAATGGGTGAGAGCCAAATCAAAAATGTGTCATCAAGGACTCTCGAAGGTCCTGTCTCTTAGGCATCTAGACGCAGTGTTTGGGAGGTCGGTTGCCCCTTACTGCCCTTCCAGCGGCCCTTGTAGAAGGCCTGGTGCTGAATCGTCTGAGCTAAGGCCGGGCGCTTTGGATGTTGGAGCGCGTGCTGAGAATCAGAAGCTTCCAAGTGGAGCTCATAGCAAGCCTTTCCGTTCTCGTCTCCAAAACTGACCTGAATTTTGGTGTTCTGCGGGCGCAGGGCCTGGAATCTCAGAAAAAGAGGGTTGTGGGATTGGCCGACCAGCATCCGGGAAAAATGATTGAGCTTTGCGCCGGGGTGTCGAATCCGGCTCAAATAAATTCATTGGCCGGCGACAGAGAAATGTTGCATAGCTTCGTTTCGTGAAGTGAGGGTCATCACGAAGAATCTGCCGTTGCATCATGAAAATGCTGTGTGTCAGCTTGAGAATGCCAGTCATGGAAATTCAAACTTCGAACGTGCCATTAAATGTTCAATTCACCACAAATGTTCCACAAAGACATGCCTTGCTATTTGCACATGTGTCTGTCTGTGCAAAGCCTCATGGCAACAACTCGACAATGACAACAGTCTTGGACCTGTTAGCATGAAGCTGGTGTTCATCAAGCAAGTCAAAAAATCAACGAAAGCAATCACCGGTGATACGTATGCCAGCTTCATCTTGGAAGGATGCTGCAGCTTGGCAATCATCTGCATAGATATTCAATGCATCACGGGGCCATTTAAGAGACCTTACACGGCAGGGGACCGAAGAAAAGGGCACGGCAACAACCTTGAAGGACTCCTAACTTGTCCAAACTTGGTGGGAGTAGATGCGACTAGTGGCAGGTTCAACAACAAAATGCGTGTCCAGATGCCAGCTCATGAGGATTGATTGATTTCAGTGGAAGCGGGAGTCCGAGGCACTCCCAACCAATGTGGGTGGTTTATCAGGCAAGAACCAAGGGCGCGTGACCAGGCCTCCAATGTGGGCCAGAGCTTGTTTGCAATCCAAGAGCCCGTCTCAGTCTAGTATCACATCAAGGCAAAAGTGGTGGCGGGTACAGGTATTCGGCTTCTGCTTTTGAAGCCTGAGTGCGATTTTTGTGTTTCCTGAAGGTTGGCCAATCATGCAAAAGATGTTCCGGAGTGTTTCGCGCACAAGTGGAGAACACAAGCAAGTGCAAAAGGGACTATGCTCATGAGGCTGTGCCGGACCAGCCTCAACCCTTGTGCCAACAGGCCACTGAAAGAAATAGAAGCGCCCAAGTACGGCCGGGTTATGACTGGGTTTTCAGTCGAGATCTTCTGCAAAAGGAGCAAAGAGGAAAGGAGCAACGGCTGCGAATGTAGTGTCATGTCATGTCATGTGTTTAACGTACTGCGTGTATGTATGTGCTGTAATGTGCGGAAATGTTATGTAATGTAGCGTGAGAACTTGAGAACATGTATGTATGGATGGATCGATGTATGTTATGTAATGTACTGTAATGTAGTGTAATGTAATGCAATGTGATATCAGATATCAGTGAAAAAAGGTTATGTCACGGAATGTATAACGTTACGACGTTACGAGCCCGGCCCGAACCTGAACGCGAACCTGAACTGGAACAGTTCCAGTTCAGGTTCAGGTTCCGGACCGTGTGTTGTACTATATAGCACCTAGCAGTAGTAGTAGCAGTAGTAGCAGTAGTAGCAGTAGCAGCAGCAGTAGTAGCAGCAGCAGCAGCAGTTTTGTAGTCGTGGTAGTCGTGGTGGTAGTAGTCGTAGTAGTAGTAGTAGTTGTAGTTGTAGTTGTAGTTGTAAGGTAGTAGGTAGTAGGTAGTCTTTAGTAGTAGGTAGTAGTAGGTGCAATGTATGTCATGTCATGTAGTGCAATGTCATGTAATGTGGTGTAATGTATTTATGTTTAGGTTGGTAGGTAAAGTACAACGGGTCAACTGTCCAAACAACAAACAGGTGCAGCCAAAAGATGTACCATGAATAGGTTCAGCTATCCGATGAGGCATGCAGGGTGGACAGCTCATGCCCATGGTTTTGAAAAGAAGCCGTGGACGGTACTAGGCACTTTAGTTGCAGCTGCCGTTTTCGTTCCAGATCCGCTACTCAGCTGCTGCCCGTGGTTGGGATTTTGGAACTATTAGGGTGGGACATTGCCGTAACATTCCTCCTTGGGAACACTGGTCGACCAGTTCAGTCAAGCTGGCGAAGGTCACCAAGGACGTTTCCCCGGGATCCGTGAGCAATCATGGACAACCCAAAGTGCACAACACAAGAGCCTGGAGGGTCTCTTGCAAAGAATGTTCTATGACATCGGAGATCCTGTAAGTCAAATTTGTTGTTTACTGTATGTTTATGTGCATCAGCTGTCCGGCCATTGCCCAGCTCCTTTCAAATCGCCATGTGTCCAGCGTCTTGCGTTTGTTTTTCTTGTGGCGAAGGTGTTTCCAATGCTTGGGCCACTCTAAGACAGTGGACAGCGTTGAGAGGAGAAACAAGTGTTCCGCGTGCGGTGGGCAGTGGGTGAGGTGTATGGACTAAGGAAGTTTGATTCTCCAGACGGGCTGGGGCCGCACTACCAACCTGTTTTCAGTGCAGGCCTACGCAGGCTTTGGTGCATCAGAGCTTTTAGAGGAAGCGGTGGTGCCAGTTTGCGAGGCTCCGCTTGGGGTCTCTGCAACGAGCTTTGAAGAAGGGCATATATGTCACTGTTTGGTGTGTTTGCTTTCTGCATTCCAGGAGCTATCATTGCCAATTGCGCTGAAGCGTGGACCTGCCAATGGAGCATGTGTTTTGCACTGTTTTCCCACAGTTAGATGTAGTTTTTTTGAAACAGCAAGCTTGGTACTATGTTTATATATTTGTATATGATATATGTGTGTATATATGTATTTACATTTACATGTATCATATACCGGCATATGCCATGTGCTTTGTCCGGATCCTGGCGACACCAGGGTGATGGGAATTCCACTTGGACCTGGGGTTGACCGGGTTGACCTAAGGAAAAGAGAGAACACAAATAGAAGGTAAGGAAGACCTCCTTCAATGACGCTCCCCCTTTGGAAGGCGCCTTATTAAAGTGGGCCTTACTTTCTTTTTGTCCATCATCATCCATCTCTTGGCTTACCAACATTTGCACAACGTCTCAACCCTGAAACGCACTGACGCCCAAGCTTGCTGAGGAAATTGGGCGCGTGGCGTGGGATGTCTCCTGATTTGGATCCCTGCTGTGGTGGGGATGGCGTTGCCAGCGCAGATGTGGCCTCCCTTCAGGAGAAGCTTTGAAAGAATTGTGCGTGCGCAACTCAATCTGTAGACCGAGATCCCAATCCATGGGCATTGGGCAAGTCAAAACGATTCATCATGGTGAAACATATGCTTTGCAAATTTGACTTTTGCAGTGCAAAGCACCCGTTCGTATTCCTTTTTTTGCACCCGCTCCCTTCTTTGCACAGCCCTGCGTCACTGTGCGTGCCTCGGCCCCGCAGTCGGCAGGCCTTGTGCGCCAAATTTCCAAAGGTTAAGTTCTTGGTGACCGCCCCTTAGCTATGGAGTGGAAGAACCAAGCACAATGCCGTGTTTGAGGTATCATTGCTGCCCAAGATCTTGCTAGCTACTTCAGAACTTCAGAACCCGTTTCCTGACTTGTCCGGTGACGTTTGAATGCGGTGGGGCAGATGTTCAAAACCAATGCTCTAAGCGATTCATTCTCCTCGGTCATCCACGATCCAAGGCCATATTGATGCTGTATTATTTTCATGTAAAAACTTACAATAGCTTCTTGTTACTACTAGTCAGGCACTTGTTACTAGAATCGATGCACTTGTTCCTAGTAGCTATATAATAAAGGCTTCTGAAGTTCCTGCATGTTCCAACATTTTTGCATCTCATCCTCGCCCATCTCCTGTTCTTCTGCCACATCTCTTGCCTTCACAACCTGGCTTCCAGGTTTTGAGCCGCGCCAATCAGCATGAGCTCACAGCCTTGAGCTCAGCTGTGATCTCTGAAGCGGGCCAGCCTCCTGTTTTAGCACTTCCTGCGCTGGGAGCCAGTTGACCAGCCAGGTGGTCTGCCAGAAGACCCGGAACTTGCACCTCTATGGCTGCTGGTGGTGCGAACCTTGGAATCAGTCTAGGTTGCCGCTGCCATTGGACATGAATACGATGACAGAGATGTTGCATGTTGAGGCTTCATGTTGTCCTCCCCTGATGTGCAGAGGTACTGCAACAATCCATCCATTATTGAGGCAAGGCAGCACGAGAAACACCCTCCCAAACCTTGACAGACAACTACAAGTTACGCTTGACTCTTTTCCAAACCGCTTCTGCAAACTTGTGAGCAGGTTGCTGGATTCAGTCCTTCACTCTTGGCGGTGTCAGATATTGAAACTCTTGAAGTTGTGTGGATACCGTTGGACTCGTAGCCTCCATTTGTCTGGCATTCTGGTTTTGTCTCCCAACAGAGCACCTATTCAGATGACTTAGACCACAACATTTTGGCATATTTTGACATAGGAGCTGACCAAAATGCGAACAGAGATGCTGGGAACTGCATACACCGCCCAGCATAGTGACTGCCGGGTATTGGAGCAACTGTGCCTTGGCACAGGGAAAGAACACGTTGGAGGGATGACATACCATGCATGCGACTGGCATTTGTGGAAAGCGACAGTGTAAAAAACCGTGCTTTTGAACAGTTCAAGTACTGTGTAAAAACCCGTGCTGCTTAGTTAAGTTCTATGAAGCGCTGCTTAGCCAAGAGCCGTGGACTGAGGCTCTACAAATGGGACCACTCTCGGCAGATCATCGGAGAAGCCCTGGTGCCCTGACGGATGGCCAAAGCTTTTCACCTCAAAAACTCGTTGTGCATCATGGTGCCTACGTGATGGGGGAGCCGCTGCAGTGGGCTACATTGGACCAAATGTCCACAAGAATCACATGTGACGACTTGCAGGTGATTTGCTTGACTGGTCCTCCATGGATTTGTTTCCCACTGTCTCCACCTTGCGCATGTGCTGGAACCAAGATTATTTGAGGGGTCCACACGATGAAATTGCCCACCAAAGCACAGCATGCGACATGTGTTTTCAATCATCGAGGGCCAATGGATGATTTTTTGCTATTTTGAGGTGCCCTACTATCAGCGCCTTCTGAGGAGACCTGATGGGATTGATCTTGCCAGTAGCCGGTGCAAGACGTTGACATGGTATCAAATAGTTTGCTTGACTCTGCCTGCACATTTTGCACAAGACATGAGATTTTACAAGTATTTACATCATGTGCCAATGTGTCAATCCACGGCACCGCATCTTTCCTAGTATGCCAGTATGGAAGCCGGTGAATGAATGGCTGCGAGCTACACAGCTATCCCGCAGAGCAAGCAGTAGCAAGCATGTTGCATCCCTTAAAAGCGACAAAATCATCCGCAATTGGCCATGAAGCGCCTGTTTGGAGTCACTCAGACTTTCGAAGATGTTGTGGCTTCAAAGGATGCGGCTGCCTTCGCGAAATCGCTGAAGGAAAAACTCGGGGAACCAGAAACAGTGAAGTTACTGCAAGGCACTCTTGCAGTGCTTTGCCCGTCAAGTGCATCCTCTGGGGTGGATGCGCTCGTGACAGCCCCGGCGGATGCGAAAGTGGAGGACCAATTGCCTGCTGCTGGCTCCCTTCCTTTGGACGAAATTGTCTTGACGCTCCCAGGCATTTCCTTTGTGGCACCTCATGGGCGCCATGATTGTATCATGACTGAAGACAGCATTTTCCTGAAAAGCCAGTCAGGGAAGAAAGCTTTGATACCTCCCATCCCGTTGGCGGATGTGAAGCACCTCCTGAAGCTGCCGAAGCTAGAGGCTATGAGGGCAGCTGGAGCTCCGGCCAAGACCTACTGGCTGGTTCTTGTCCTAGAGCACCCCATCACCGTGGGCAAGCAAATCCACAAGTGCGTGGTCATGAAGCTGGAGGGTGTGAAGGTGCCAAGCTCCAAGCTGCAAGCTCCAAGCTTGGGGCCCAAGTCGTGTGCAAGACGCGACAGATGTGAGCGTGCCCTAAGGGAAGCTTTGGAGGCCGAGGAGGCGGTGGTGGTGTCGGCTGTCGTGGCGGCATGCGTGAATGCAACGGTGCTGGAGCCAGAGGCATCAGTTTGCATTTTGGAGGGAGCGGAGGCGAGGGCTGAAAGGGGTGAATTGGGAGTCCTGTATCCACTGCGTTCAGGATTGGCCTTCCTACCCAAGCCGGCCATTTTTGTGCCAGGCGATGACATCCTTGAGGCACAGGCAGGCACAGGTGCTCCTGGAGGTGGGGACCTCATCATTCACCGAGAGAGTGGTGGGGAAGTGAGGTTCCAAAGTGTGGCATCCAGCGATCTCAAAGCACTGTTGTCATACTTCGCCACCTTGGCTCCCAAAATTCAGAATGGGAACGGCGCGAGCGACACCCTTTGGCCAGAGGAGGATGATGGTTCAGATTTTGAGGATGAAGATGCCCGCCCAGCAAAGAGGCGAGTCGTAACTCGATCCCAGACATGTGCAGAAAAGGCTGCTGGCAAGACGCCTGATTTGGTGCAAGACTTACGATCAGGTTCCCAGGCAGCTTCGCCCAAAGTCCCAGAGCTGGCGGAGGAGGGCAGTGCAGGCAGTGATCCCGACGGGGACGAGTCCGACGAATGGGAGCAGGACGAGTGAGGCGTGCTGTGCCGAAAAAGGCGCGGCGAGCTTGACTCTGCATAGCCCGCTTACAAGAGAGGTGTGACTTGTGCCAGGGAGCCTTCTACGTCCAAGCCGAGCAACTACTCGCCCGTACTACCATTTACTTAAGCCTACTACTACGGCGGCCTACCTCCCTCCGGCCCTTAAAAACATTTAATTATATTTAATGCAATTAGTAATTACATATATAGTGTATATAGTATGCTTTCTGGACACCTGACCACCTTGCAGGAAAGGCTGGCGCCTCACTCGAGAGGAGCTCAGACGCGACTTGCAGCTGCTGCTGGGCGGCTCCTACGAGGCATGCGTTTTGAACGCGCCCCCTTGATGTGTTAAGGTACCGTTTGCGAATCGAACATGTCCAATTTCGCAGATTTGGGCATTCTTCTCGCACTCATGCTGCAGGCATTCATGGCCCGGTGAGCTGCAAGAGGTTGCGGAGGCCTTGAAAAGCTGACATGCGCAAGTGAAAGGATCAAAGCATCGACCCAAGTGTGATTTTCAGAAAGGTTTGATGAGATTCACCTGCGAGTTGTTCATGCCCCTTCCCCCCTCACCAGCACAGACAGAATGAAAAACCCACATCAGCACTAGCCCAAAATTCACGGCTGAGAACCCATGACAATTTTTTGGCATCACTTTGCCAGCATCAATTTTGCGCACACGGCTGCCGTGTGTTGAGTGCACGGCGACCTGTTTCTTCTTGCAGAACCACTCCGATCCGCTGTGCAAGTTTGATTTTGGTGACTTGTCGCTGTTTGGCCCTGCACTCCATGGCGCTTGCTGTGCATGTCATTGGCTCTTCCCCAAGATGGGGATGTCGGGGCCAAGAGACGACTGCCGTGCGCAGCAGCGTTCAGCCGTTCGGTTGGGCCGTGGGTTCACGACGGCCGAGATTCGCAGATGTATATAATATAGTGCAAGGCCTGCGCCTTGGATAAGCACCACAAAAAAGACCAATAGTGCTATGGAAAAGGTTGCCCGAGGAGTTGGGCACCAGAAAATGCCGGTGCGATTCGACTCAGCCAAGGTGCCCAACGGGGGTTGACCACCTTCTGCCAGAAACTGCTGGACAACCACCTCTTGAGAGAATCGACCTTGAGGAGCAACCGTTTGACGCTGCTTCACTTGATTGTTTCAGAGAGCCAGGTGTGGACCGCAATTCCAGGGGTGCCCCGTGATTCACCAATCAATTGCCCGATTCCTCGTGTTCGGCCACTGCACGCATCCTTCCACAGAAGGAGAACAAGCAGCCTGGGTGAGACGGCAGTCCACCTTGCTGCGAAGCACAGCTGGGTGTGAAACTCAATGGGCTGAGCAGAGGCTGAGATGGAATAGAAATGAGCATATTGATTGAGCTTTAGAAACATTTGCCCGAGCCGGGGGTAGCCAAAGACGGGCAAAGATCCATAGGAAGCCCGCTCAAAAACTGTCTACATGCCCGTTCAGAATCAGAAGAGTGGGGAGGGCTTGAGTCCTGCGAGCTGGATCTGTTCTTGGTAATTTTGCTAGGTCTCTTGGTAGGCTGCTCTGTTGCGATGCTTTTTTGGATCTACCATAGGTAGGTAGACAGCCAGCTGACCTTGCCAAAGAATTCTGTATGGATATTTCCAGACGACAAACTTACCCTCTTCTTTGTGCAAATGCGCAAATGCCCTTGGGGTGATGGCCTGACACGATCCCCCCAAACCATTCCGGGCTCAGACTTTATACTGTATTTTGTTTATCAAACCCCACACCCACACCCACACACCCGGCCTGCTTGCTAATCCCATCGGTTTTGATTGGCAGCTTTTTGCAACCTCAGCCTTCGACCGTCCTGGCCTTGCTGAAGCATCCACGTCTGCTGCAAGAGAGGCAAGGCCCAGCAAGGCAATCCCACGCTTGAACAGCCTCCAAATGGTGTTCACTCATGGCAGACAAAAAGTCGACACAAACGATATGGCAGCGTGCCGGAGTTTTTACAGGAGTACGAGTGGCCGAACTCCTTTGCATAGTGCAGCGGAAGAAGGTCATTCTTTAGTTGTGAAGTCTAAGTCTCAGGACTTTGGAGTGGAGCGGGAGAGATGATGTGCTTTGTGGAGTTGTTGTAGTTGAATGCGCCAACTATGTAACTATATCCAAAGTGTGGCATAGGACTGGTCTTCCAATAAATTTTTAATGTTTGAAGTGGCTCCGAGGGCCTTGCTCAGCTGCCCGGAGTTTGCAGAGGTTAACGTGCAGGAGATTTTTTGGGGGTTCAAGCAGATCGATTCACCACCGGTCCTCAAAGTTCCAGATTTTGGAGACGCAGCTTGGTGACACCAGGACAATCTTGGACACAGTGCTTTACATGTGGCTGCAAGCAGGGCCTCTTGAACTTCTTGCACCGTCTTGCACCCTTCTACTGTACTATAGTGGCACTTGAATGGAGGGATACTTGAAACATATCCCTTTGATCAATCAGTCGGACGTGTGCTGGCGATAGAGGGGTTGTAGAGATCACTGCGGAAACTAAGGCCAAGGCCATGGCACTGTGTTCCCAGCCTCGCTTGAATTCAAGGCTGTTGCTCAGTGCAAGCAGGGCAAATAGGCCTTTGGGTATCAGAGTCCAGAGTCTCTCTATTCTGACTTGTTGTGGGTTCTACTGTTCTACTGCGGGGTGCAGACCACAAAAGGGCCACCCAGCCTCCAGCTGTTTATGGTGCGGAGGAGGCGTAGAGAAGCAATCCCACGTGATTCAAAAGGGGTATAATGCATGCAAGAGGTGTCAGAACAAGGTGCCAGATGGCTATTTGACAGTGCTTTTGTTACACAGTTTCTGCACCCTCTTAGAGCATCTCATGAAAGGTCATAGTGTCATAGTGTACCTTCAGCTACCTGAGTTCAATTTAGCTTAAACTGGCGGGGGAACCTTCCTTACAAGACCTGTTTTTGGGGGTCACAAGTGGCGATTCTTCATGCAACCTGACTTTTTTCCAGCCATTTGTGGGATCTTTTTTGAGTAGTGTTTTGCTTTTGCTGCTGCTTCCGCTTTTGCTTCTGCACCTGCTTTTCCTTTTGCTTCTGGTTCTGCTTTTTCTTGTGTTTTTGCCTTTGCACCTGCTTTTGCTTTTGCTAGCTTTGGTTTTAATGGTTTTTGCTTGTTCTGCTTTTGCGTTTGGGTGGCTTCTGGTGGAAAGAGCATCTATTTTTTGGTTCCCGGTGGGTAGTGTGACCCCCGAGGGTTTGTGGAGGAAGGGGCCATTCCACAGCATACCCTTTGACCGCTGTGGTCTGCTCTGCTCATCGTCGCGATGGAAACTGCGGCTGGACCACGGCAGCACTACTTCGGGCACACTCCGGGCTCCCAAATTGAGAAACACACTTGGGAAATGACGCGACGATTTGATTGCTCCAAGGCCTGAAGATATTTTGGTTAAAGGGAGAACGTAGGTGATGCAGGGGAGTCAGATCAGAGGACTTTCAAAAAAAGGGATAGCATAGAAATCCCCCTGTCATGGTGAGCGGGACGAAAAAGAATCGCTCATAGCGGTAGTGAAAACGGAAGAGGACCGACAGACTAGCAAGTCTGAGACTAATGAGTCGCCCTGTAGTCTGTAGCATAAGTAGGGGTCTAATAGGATTAGTCGGATTAATGCAAAATAGAAAGAAACCGACGGACAAGTCAGCCGAGAACTCTGCCTCGCTTTCCGAGCGAGAAAAGAGAATCACTCTGTAGCGAGAAAGAGAGTCCCCAACCACTTCCCTTCCGATGAGTCGCTGGAAGGCTGATACCCCTGCCATCCCCTGCCCAAAAGATCAAAACGGACACTCATGACTCGTTAAGGTGCAAACTAGGAGACCTTGTCTCAAAGGTCGGACAGCCACTCATGACTGTCTTAATTCATTAAACGTATATAAATCACGAGCGCCCCCCGGTGAGGCAGATTACAATCCCAAACTAGAAGAAAACACGGCTGAAAAAGTCGGAAGAAAAACACTTGTGACTCCAGAGTTTCCACGCACACACGCGTAATGACCACACAAAACGTTACCACAGCGCTCCGTGGCCCAGGGATTCCTTGCATGTGTGCCCCGACCCAGTTATCAGCTTTCCTATGTGTGTATCTGGCTGTATATATATATATATATAAGCATATATACATATATACTGTACACATTAGAACTTGCTCCTAGTAGCTTCTTGTTCCTAGTAGCAATGCCAGGAGCCCCTAGTAGCGTCCTTGCTCTTAGTAGTAAGGCCAGGAGCCCCTAGTAGCGTCCTTGCTCCTAGGGTATCCTTAGCGGCCTTAGCGTTTCTTTTTGCGGCAACCTTTCGACACCTTTCCGCCATATTACCTCTTGCTGGCTGGTGCTGCTGCTGGTTTGCTGGTTTGCTCGTTTGCTGGTGCGATGTTACATTGTGCATACACATGCTAAAACTCTCCCCTGCCAACCAACCGTTCGTCCATCTAGAATGGATAACTTTATCTCCAAGCTGGTTTGCACATGCAGACGCGAAGAGATACTCTGCCAGGTCTGCTCAGCACTTTTGGCCGACAACCGAGTTGCCAGAAGTCTGTGACACCGCCTATATTAAATTAAGACTTCTGCAAGGTTGCTATCCATGTCAATGAATCGATGATGGGTGGTAGATGAAATGGAACTCTTTGGCGGTGATACAAGGCCAAATGACGGTTTGCTTCTTTTCTCACTCCCGAAAAACCATGCAATTCCCAATTCGGGCAACGCCCAGCGCAGCTGGCCCAAATTCACGAGGACAAGCCTTGTCACCAACTCGTCTAAAGAGCATTGCCAGTATTATGACACCGGCTGCATTCCGAATCACACTTTGTTTTTGCCCATGCCTTGTTTTTGTAAATCCACGTGGACAGTAGCCGTAGCTGACTAGCTGCAGTTTGGTGGCGGGTTGCTCGAAAGCCCAGGCGAACTCAAACTTTTTGGCGGCAAATGCCAAGGACGCTTGTTTGGGCCGACAGCGTTTTGGCATGAGGTGAGTTCCAGCCTGCAGCAAATGATGGGAGTTGTTTGGAGATGCTCAACACTGATTGATGGTTGCAACACCTGGGCAATGCATGTTCGGCATGTTGCCAGAACAATATTGAGGCAGCAATGAGCCAACGCAACAGGACTGGAAAGGGTGGACGGCCTTGCACTGTGCTGCAGAACTGGGCCACGATGAGGCCGCAATGTTCGTGAGCCTCCTCCCAATCTGCTGATAGTCCACACGGGGTGGGCTTATATACACAATTGAGAATGTCTTCGAAGAAGCCTTGTTTTATGATGTTTTATGCTGTTTTGAATGTTGGACAGTTCAACTGTTTGCTAGACTCTGCAGTTCAGCCTTTGCCACCTCTCCTCCTCCTCCTCCTCTACATATTCCCCCCAGTCACCAAAAGCAGGCTTGCAGCGCTATTTTGGGCAGTGGTCGCTGCGACGTGGGGAGACCTAAGGCAAAAGCGCACCAACTGTCGTGTTGGCCAGTTTAACTGCTTCCCAGAATTTACTTGTCAACTCGGGTCCGGTTGAAGCCAATCTCGAAGACATTAATGCCATT